AGGGAAAGATGGCTTAACAAAACAAAGTAGCATAATTCTATTTTAATTACTACAATATTTTCTGTGAAGGAATAATTTGCACATATATGAACACGTGGGAAAAATAATAAATTTAAGTTTCCATTTATTCCATACAAAAAGAATAACCTTAAAAATTGAAACAGACTAGTTCAGAGTAATATTATAGTGTTTTTAAAAATCAAAACCTTTTTCATCAAATTTATTATTAGTCATCATATTTAAGCAATTTTTCTCATTGTCTGTATATATACTTCCAGTAATGAAACAGAAGTTTCACAAGAGGAAATTGTTTCCAACTTGGAATGTTTTACCAAATATTCACTCCCAACCCTTCACCTCATTGTCTAAATGAAGCCACAGAATGTTTCTTGAAAAGGCAAGCAGGAGGGCTAACCCCTTTGCAACCTGTCAGGGGTCTTCTACGTGGAGATTCTCTTCAATTAGAAGAGGAAATCCAGAAGAACAGACTTACAGCACTAAATAACATGATTCTTAAGGTAATTGATTGGGTAATCTTTATTAGATCATCTTATGATCTTGATTAGTATATGGTCCATGGAAAAAGTAAAAAAAAAAAGAGAAACAGCATAGAATTTGAGCTTTTGAGGCAGACTTTGTCAAAAATTATTTCAGGAGTTCGTTTTTTCATTTCCTTCTAAATTAAAGACATTGCACTGAACTTTAAATTTTCATATAACTTTAGATTCTGCCGAGGTCATTTCAATCCAAATTTCAGTTGATGAATCATTCTATAAGCTTTACCATATCTTCTTTAAAGCTTGCAGATTATTAAATGAATCTTGTTCAAAATGATTTACAGTTTAATATTTCAAAATAGGCATCTTATTAATTCAATAAATCCAAAGGCAGCTTTAGGATCAAGAGAGTTTATTGAATTTATACAACATGACATATCCTTAAGTGCTTTAAATTATGCATATCAAACCTATGAAATAACGAAACCTGTTACTACATAAATACACACACAAGGATTTTTGTAAACCTCACTGTTTTTAGAGAATTTACAGTATTTTTAGAGTAATCCATTTTATTATGAGACTCCACCTTTGAGAAGAATGCACTTATTGTAGAAGATGTAAAAATATAATTCTTTTCATTAGTACCTAAATGAGGAGGCCAAAACTCATAAAGTTTCAAAAATTTGCATGGATTTTGATTGTTGAATTGGGTCTCACTTCCCCACGTGTGAGGTGGGGAGTGGGAGGGAGTTAGCTCTCGGATCAGCCCAAGAATTTATTTGCTCCTCAGTGTACTGGCAGTTATAACAGGGGTTTCTGATCCCAGGACCTGGGAATCCTATGATACAGGAGAGAAGATGAAAGTAGAGAGTATTTTCTCTTTTCTGGGCATAACCCTTTTCCTTAGCAAAATTGTAGAATGAGCCATTTGACTCTAAGATAAAAAACTGCATTTCCCTTAAATGGCAGACTTGAGGTTGGGCAAGGAGGACTTCCGAAAATCAGCAGGCTTTCCCCTTTGTTTCAGTAGTTAATGTGACTGATCATTTTAGATGTGCCCTTCCTACAACTCTAGAAGTAGTTCTCAAAGGGCAATTTAAATATCAAAAAGATGAGGAATTTGTTAAAATGCAGATTTTTTGGCCTAGTCATGCAAAAAAAAAAACCTTACAATTCGATGGGTCTGTACCCTAGGAATATGCATTTTTGACTAACTCCCCAGAGGAATCAGATTAGACCACACTTTCAGAATCACTGATCTAAAATTGCTCAAAATTTCTTTTCTCACAACGTTTCTTGTGGTATCAAAGCCCTCAACAACAGCAATGGAGAAAGTTTGTACCTTAGAAGTTTAGAAAGCAGGGACTTCTTGAAATTTGAAGGGTTTGGACTATCCCCGCAAATGAAATATTGTGCTCTGCCCCAAGTTGTAATAGAATGTTTATATACATAACATGTGGAATAGTTTATTGAATTAATTAAAATCTTCATGCTTCAGAGATTCTTCTTTAACTGAATGCTAAGAGTGTAATGATGCTATTACCAAATTATTACCAAAGTAAAATGCTTATATTTCTTATACCATTATTTTCTGGATCCAAAGTCATTTGTTTAATTAATGCACCAGTAGTCCTACAAGTTTCCAATTTAAAAAAGAGAATCTCTTATGAACTCAAAGAAGGTTAATATTTTTAATCTAGAAAATTGAGTTACACCATGTAGGAGGTTTCTTCTATATTTAAATAATGCTGTGAAGTTGCATTCTAATGGCACCAACATATCAATAGGAAGATAGAGAGTATTTTTACAAAATTTAAAGTTAAGAATTTTCTTTTTTTTCTTTTTTGGCTGCACCACAGGCATGCAGGATCTTAATTCCCCCACCAGGGATAGTACCCGTGCCTCGTAGAAGCATGGAGTCCTAACCACTGGACCACCAGGGAATTCCCAAAGTTAAGAATTTTTAAATGTTTTAAATTAGGATGCCCATTTCCACCTGTCTTGTGTGTTGACCTTAACAATGTGTAAGAACTCTAGGCAGGTATGTGTTGGGCAGTCCCCAGTGTGTCTGCTTCATCTGTCTAAAGATAAAGCAAAACCAAGTCTTCCTGATTTTGGAAAATTCATTTTAAAGAAATGCTTCTTTAAATCCAACTCAAATATTCAAACAGGACATTTTTTTCCTAAAGAAAATCTGAACTGTTCTATCATTCTTTCATTGTTACGTGACAATAATTCACATAAGGTAATTTCATATCTCGTCACCACTTCTTAGCACTTTTTTCCCCCCGAATGAACATCTTTCTAGGAATACCACATGCTGTCCATCTCTCCCCTTCCTGATCCTCAGGGACCAGTGATGGATGTCATTCAGCTTCTGCCTTATTGGTATTCCCTGTGGAGTAGCAGCTGAGAGAAAGTGCATTCAGGGTGTAGAATGTTAACAGAAAATAAATTTTAAAAAAACCTTTAATGAGAATGGGGCACATGTGGTCTGGTGCTCTATGGCAGATTCACATTAGCTACAATTTCTCTGCCTGCCACAAACAGTTGTTTCAAAAAATAAGAAGGAAGAAAAGAAAGAATGAGCATAGCAGTGGGGAGGTTTGATTTTTTCCTTCCGCACAAATTTGCCAGAGACCATCAGAAAATCAGAGAGCAATGCTTGATCGTGCTGACCCTTCTTACCCCACTTTAAACAGATTAAGAATGGTCCATAAAAACCAGATTATGTAATATATAAGAGTGTGTTTAAGTTTACAGTAGGCACGTACAAATATATGAATCTTATTCCTGATGCTTTAGTAGAAATAGTGTTTATATATACAATGTTAAAAATAACCATATATGAATGTATATGCATGTATACTATATAATAAAATAATTGCCAGTAAGTGTATTGCTGCATGTAAAAATCTGTGTCCAGTGAATAAAAGACCTATAGAAGCTATTTATTTAAGGAGAACTATTAGAAATCTATAGGAAAAGAATGTCAAATTCATTAGGTCTAACTTAAGCTAAGCAAATAAATAATCCCTTGCCTAAAGGAGAACCAACTCAACAATTTTACTAAATCCTCAATACAAGAGTCTCAAAATCAGAGTCACCTCACAAGTAGATTATTTAGAAAGTACTATGTCTTTATCATGTTTTAGTTAAAACTATAATACGATTAGGATTTTTATAAACAAATGCTGTTAAATCATAGCTTAAATTTTTTAAAATGACATATTTATGTGTCTGATCAGCTATTTGAGGTAACATTTTCATTATTTACCTAATAATACATTTATCTAATTGATGGTAGATCTCAATAGAGAGCCTTAATTTAGCAAATGCATTTGTTTAGCTGATAAAATCACATTTGTGCTTTTATTTAACTCTAAGTGATATCTGAATGTCTTTTAATAGATAAATAGCTCTTGATATGAAAATGAAAACAGTAGATTGAAAATGGAAAGGAAATATAATGCTATCTTCAATACTGATTACTGATAGGAATAAAATATAGTATATGTGACCCAGAAAATACATATTATTTGGAAATATTTTAGTGATGTGTCTTCATCAATAAAATATGGCCCCCAAATAACTAAGATACTAAAAATGAACATCCAAAAGTGTACTCATATTCCTAGTTGCTAGATAAGTATTTTGGTACTCCCATATATAACTGGAATGAATTTTTACATACTGTATTTATGGACAAAAAATAAAAATATGCTTGGTACGTTTAATCTGGTTTCATGTGATTATTTTCTTTTTTAAAAGGCAATCTAAAATGCAAAGTATTTTAGGATCTTGATAATAATTTGAAATAAGCATATAAGTGAATCAGAAGATTAATTTTCCTGTCTTCTATCACAATAAAATAGTCCATTCAAAATATTTTCTCTTTATTTACTATATTTTTCCTACCCAAATTATTGCATAAATAACATACAGCTTTGTTAGAGATGAGAATTAATATTTTTAATTGATTCAAGGCAATATAATCATCTTTAAAATTGAAGAAAGGTTTTTGGGCTCCAAAGATTTAATCACTCATATGCTTTAAATATCAGTATTACTTTAAAATAAAAGTAAATTAGTTAAATTAAAAATTTTGTGGACTACTACAAAAAAAAATCTCTTCCTTTCTTCTTTCCTTCCTTCTTTTCCTTTTTAAAATACATTTTCAAAAAATACACCTTTTCCCTCATATAAATAAATGTTTCCAAATATTACTTGTGAATTCAGGGGAAAAAGTGATTCAAAGATAATATACAAGAGTGGATTGCAAAGACAAATGCCATATAATTTCACCTGTATGTAGAATCTTAAACAAAAAGAGTATAGACTGCAAATTTCATATCTTGTTTGTACCTTATAGTGGGGAAAATTATCAGTTTCACTGTCCAAATAGCTTACTCAGTAACAATATTTTTAACTTCTTTAATGCAAATCTTATGGAAACAATTCCTTAATTTTAGTCCTCAAATAAAATTATTAATACTCTCAGAATAAGGACAAATTTTATTTTGCAACACCCATAAAAAACATTTATAGTAATAGTCTATATAGAGCAGATCCCACATTCTGTGTGGGGAAGCTCAGGACTGTGTAGCAACTTGGAACCAGGAGTGGATTTAGGGAAGGAAAGATTCAACAAGGGCCAGAGATGTGTGACAATACAGCCCTCAGCTGACCTCTTAAAACTCCACCCTTTTATTCTTACAAGCACCTTTCTTTAAAGAATATCAGGTTTACATTCCACCTCCATGTAAATGCTCTATTTCTGTGAAGTATGGATGTTACATTTGACATCATTCTTATTGAAAAGCAGCACAATATGTAAGATACAGAGCTTTCTATGGTGATAAATTTAGTCATGGGACAAACTGGATTTAATAATTCAATGTATATTCTAAATTATATGCTCTTGCAGAGCTACAGGAATGTATGGATACTTTTTATGATACTTATTCTATATGATTTGAACATACACCCCTTAATAAACTCCTTGAGAATTGTCAGTTTCCTGCATTGCTGTTCTTCAAAGAGTACACAAAGGACAGAGTATGTGTCCTTTAGATAAGTTCAGATATTAACTCAAATCCTCTTTTAAAAATGCTTCAAAATGCATCTTTAGATATGTGAACACAGTTTAGTATTTCTATAAATAAATTTTAATTCCCAAATTATTGTATTTCCTTTCAGGTATATTCACTTATACAAGTCTTTTACTCCCATGTAAAGTCTGATCTTGGTCTTTTTTCAGTTTTTAATTTCACTGCATCTGTTTCTTGCCCAATACTCTCCTAGAACCTCTGGCCACCTCCTCTGAATGTTTACCTTTCTGTTCATGCTTGGACACCACTGCAGCATCTTTCTTGTCCTTCTCTTTGGGTTTAGGTGATGTTTTCTGTGCTTCTTTTACTTTTGCAGCTGTTTGCTTCACCTTCTCCTGTTTCATACCTTTCACTTCCTTTTTAATCTTTTCTTCAGTCTTTTCTCTAGTCTTAGCTTTCTTCTCTTCTGTATGGAGTTAAAGAAAAGTTGAACTTTATATCTATCTATCTATCTATCTATCTATCTATCTATCTATCTATATATATTTAACCAATGCAGCATTTCATCTTTCATTGGTTGTTAAGAACACTTTTAAAAGAAAGAGAACAGAAAAACAAAAAAATTGTGTCACTGACATAAATACTTGTGACTATCATTTGATTTTTATATAGTTTATGAAGTGGCATGTTAGATTACTAAAAAAATGTAACTAACTTGAAAGTTGGACTCTTTCTTAATTTGTACATGAAAACATTACTTTTTAGGTAGTCAGGAACTAAGTATATCAACAAGGAAGCATTTGGATTCTGGAGGGAAGTATATATATAGACATGTTCAGTGAAAAGCCATGTCCATACCAAAGAGCCCAATAAGAGACCTTTTAAAACAATATGATCATTTTTGTCCACAACTGAAATATCTTAAAAGTCATTCAAGAAACTGAATTGTCAACACAATATTTTTTAAAGGTAACTATTATGAAGGCAAATGTAAAATTATTTGCACTGGTAATGACTAATAGAAACAAAACAATAAAATCCATTAAGGGATAACTCAGACATTCAGTCTCTAATGATGTGACTTTAAAGAGATGGAAAGAGAGCAAAATTAAGACGTTGGCTCCTGCTTATCTTAATTGAAAACTAATAATTCAGGTGACTTTTAAAGCCCTTAAATATATCCTAAAAAACAGAAAGTGCTATAAATTAGCATATATGTGAATATATATTAATTATGATACATATACATATATTCTATACATTCATATTTTATTCTGATATTATTACATGTATTGGGGGGAAGCGAACTGGGAATGTGAACTAATCAGTCTGCGAATCTTTCAATTATTTTAAAAAAGCAATAATAATATAGTACACATTTGTGGAAAGTGTTTATAATCGAAGTTGCATATTGGACATTATTTATTCTATGGGATCACACATAATCACTAGACTTCATAGTAAGTCTACTATAGTGTTGGACCCTCTAACGTCATTTGCCCATGTAATGGGTAGCCTTTATTGTGACTCATGTTGAAGAATTTGATGAAAATATTATAATCAAGTCTCTTGACTTTAGTACACTAAGCTAGGATTTGAGACTAAGACAAGATAATACTATGAAGTCCTGCAAAGAGAAGAATGAAAATGCTAATGCTTGATGCTTGTGAAACCACAATATCACCTGTGGTACTGCATTTAACTGAATGGACTAACACCTTCCAAAGCACTGTTAAACTTCGCAGGGAAATCCTGATGCTGTGTTAGGGGTAGGGGATATTTCTATCAAAATAAATTGGGAAACACTTAAGCCAAACTGGTTTCTTTACTATGGAATTTCTCAAAGCTAAAGTGCATTAAGAATCTTCAAGGAGGGAGATTATGCTACCCACTGTTTCCCAAAGTTACTGACCATAAAACTCTCATAGAAGAATTACCCAATTACTCCACAAACTTCCAACATCTTTGTGGCTTCTGTGACTACAATCAACTGGGGATTTTCTTCTACTCCCTTTAAACCTTTACTAAGTTTCCTTTACTGCTTTCTGCTCCTTCCTACAGCAGACACATACATTTCTATGACTGAAACCATCAGCTTTGTGCAAATGACTTTAAATCAGTAGCATTCCAGGACCCCACACCAAAATATTTATTCATTTCTGCTTGGAGAGAAAGTTCCTCTGAGATGGCCAACAGCACCTCAGAGTCATACAATCCACATATGTTCACCTAACAAACCCCTCCAGAGAGCCTAGCATGACCTAGGCTCAGAGCCTGCTGCCAGTGCTCTGAAGATTGGCGGGACAATGTTCCTACCTGAGGAGAGCTGACTAAAAGCCTGTGATACCCAATTTAAAAAATATGAAAACAAAACAAAACCACAAAACCCTGTGATATCTGGCTTCATCATTTCTCCTCTCATAGCATCTTTCCAAAAGTTTCTTCCTCCAATAGACTACTTTCATTTTGTAAAAATATCTCATGTATTTTCCACATGTCAAATATTACCAAGCTATATTGTCTATGTTTTTCATATTTTACACACATATTAAATCCCTTTGTGCTCAATTCATATGCAGCAAATGACTCTGCCATTGGAATTAATCATTTCTTCACCCGAGATTAAATTTGTCTCAACTTTTTTTACGTACACGTTATTCCCTACTATTTATCTTGTATTACAGATGGCTGTTCACATATCTGTCTTCCCTACCATATTGAGAGCAACTTGAGGATAGGAACTATATTATTCATTTTTGTAGCAACATAATGTCTAACTAACACAGTGCTTTTTTCAGAGAAAACAAAGAATAAATGTTTATGAATGAACAATTTTGATCAAGAAAACAGTAATTGTTTCACTATATTCAGATCATGTATACAACATACTGACATATAGATTACATATGCAAATATGTGTTTAGAAATGGGCTTGAAACAACCTGGAAAATTTGCCAACTGCTTTTTTGCTTATACTTTTTATGTGTGAAATTATTATTTTGGTTACCCTAAATGGCACCTACCTACTTCTTATAGGTAGCAGTTGATTTAACCTTAGCTTTGTACTATGAAATTAAAGATATGTGAAATTAAGATCTACTTTTAGTGCCATTATAATTTATAAATGAGAAAAGGTAATTTTCTTAAACACAAGACTACATCTAAAACAAATTCTTTTTTTTAAAAAACAAATTCATATTTATCAGTGGTTTTAAGTATAAAAATAACACAATTTTCTCTATCTATTTTAGACATTTTTAGTGATCTTCATCTTTGAAACAGATAATGTTGCCTCACATTTAAACAAAAATGGGTGAGAATTCAACAATGATGTGGATATAATGTGAAAAATACCATAAAATTAAAGTAATACCCAACTTGTATTTATTTTTATCAAACTGGGTAGGTGTTCTTAAATTTTGTACCAAATACTTTTCCTGATTTTTCTCAAAAAGAATTTAAGTGACATTTGTACTTAGGAGTTCATTTAGGAACAAAAAAGCAAAAAGAATTGTCATGTTCAAATCACCCAGCTCAGTTTAGGAAGACACTTAATTTATGACTTTTATCAAATGGAAAACAAATGGTCTAACCAAAAGAATGACATCAGCATATTTGATCCAACTTTGGAATTAGTAATAACTGTTAGCATCTGAACCAGAATCAAAATGTCTTAAAGTAGGGAAACCGCATTACCCAATAAACATACTAACATACTATACATTTTGGGAGTTAGGAAATAATCCATTTCAACTCTCATTCATTAAGGAACTACCAGTTGCTTAACTTTCTCTCTCTCACTCTCTCTCTCTCCCTCTCTCACTTATATTCTTATTAAAGTATTTGTGATTTTCAGCAGGCCGGGCTGACTCATGATAGCCCTTAACGATTCCCACCTTCTGGTATTCATACCCTTGTATAATCCTCTCCCCTTGAATATGGGCTGGCTTATGAATTTGCTGCTATCCCACAGTATGTGGCTTCCATGATTACCTTACATAAGATTGTTATTTCTGTCTGGCTAGCTAATTTGCTCTCTTGCTAGCTGATTTGCTCTTGCTGGGTTTGACGAAGCCAGCAATACTGGTGAGACTCATGTGGCAAGAAATGAGGACGGCCTCCTGCCAAAAGCCAGGAAGAACTGAGACTCTCATGCAACAGGCCTTGAGGAACTGAATCTTGCCAACAGTCATTTAAATGAACTTGGAAATAGTTCTTCCCCAGCTGAGACTTCAGATGGGACTGCAGCCCTGTCTAACACACTGATCTCAGTTTTGTGAGACACTGTAAAGCAGAAGACTGAGTTGAGCCATGTCCAGATTCTTGGCCCACAGAAACTGTGAGATAATATATGTGTGTTGATTTCAGCCACGAAATTTGTGGTAATTTTTTACACATCAAGAAATAATTAATACAGTATTAAATATTTGTTGAAGGAATAATGGATGCTTGAAGGACTTTATTTATCTTTGGAAAGAATACTTGATTTATACTCACTTGGGGTTTTGTCTTAGTTCAATTACATACTAGCTTTATAATCCGGACAAATTGTTTTCTCTCCCCAGAAGTAAATTTCTTCATCTGTTAAGTTAGGTAATTAATTGGGATAATCTCTAACATCCCTACTAGCTTTAAGTTTCAATTCATCCATCTTAACTTCAATAAAATGATGTTTGGTTACCTCACGGAAACATTTAGTAAAAAATATATCTGCCTCAAATATCTAATTATTTTACATTGTGTAGATAAACACATTAAATTTTGAAAATACATTCCAATTTTTATCTACGTGCTTAGACCCTTGAAAATATACTAGATTTCTAAAATATACTGATCACATAAAACCTATATTTTAAAATACGAGGAGGGAGCAGGAGATAAAATGGCCAAGTAGGAGGACACAGAGTTCACCTGCCCCCATGAACACATCAAAAGTACATCTACCTGTGGAGCAATTCTCACTGAAAACAAACTGGAGACTGGCAGAAAGACTTTTTTACAACCAAGCCTCTAAGAAAGATACACACAAAATCAGGAAGAGAAGCAATTAGGTTGTGACCTGTACCTCTAGAAGGGGACACAGAAGAGAAGGATTAACTAGGCTTGCAGATTACCCCCTGGGGAGTGAGCAGTTCGAAACACATATCAGTCACCGCAGTCCTAGGGTCTGACACCAGGAGTACCAGTCCCCTTAGCTGGTTTGAAAACCAGTGGGACTGACAGCAGGGCTGTGAGAAACCTAGACTCTGCTCTGGAACAGTACACACATGCTCACTTACTCCTGAAACAAAGCAGAGGAAGAAAACTGAACTGTCTGGGATTCTAGCCGGTTTCCAGCGACTACCCCAGCTCATGCCCCAGCCTAAGCTGAGCACCCACTCTAGCCAAGCTTGCTCTGTGGTGCAGTTCTACCCCAGGGCAAAGGCTGCCACAGCTGAGGAGAGTGCATGGTTATAAAGGATAGAGCTGGCTCATCTTAATTGGGTGGCAGCAGTCATTCCTGGCACTTATGGAGGCAGCAGATGGGGAGTGGACCAGAATTCTGACTGGGGTGCTGGGACCACCCCAGCCTTCACCCTGAATAATGCTGAGTACACACTCCAGCCCCTCTTGCTGCAGCACTGCTCCATTCTGTGCTGAAGGTGCCAATGCCCAGAGCAGGGAGAGCACACACTTAGAGGGAACAGAGCCAGCTTGGTCCCAAACATCAGGGCTTCTCCTCCAGCAACTTGGGCCCTGATCCAGTCCCCAGTAGGGCGGTGCTAGCCTCTGAACAGAGGAGAAGCCCAGGCTCACACCTGGCTCTGGCCCTAGACCCTCTGTCTCCAGCTCCACATCCTACCATGGTGAGAGCTGCCTGCACAACATGGGGGAAGATGAGACTCATGCTCACGTCAGATCCAGCCCTCCCACCAAAGCCACTTGGCACATGCAGACTATAGGGGCACTTCCACATAAAGACACCCCTTCAAGACTGGGATAGGTTACAGTTTCACCTAATTTCATAGAGATAGTTGAGAAGAGAGAGGAATTTGTTTTAAATGAAGGAACAAGAAAAAAACTCTGAAAAAACATCAAATGAATCAGAGATAAATATTACCAGATAAAGAGTTCAAAGCATTAGTAATAAGAATGCTAACTGAATTAGTGAAAAGAATAGATGAACACCATTATAATTTTAGCAAGGAACTAGAAAATATAAAAAAAGAACCAATCAGAACTGAAGAATATAATAACTGAAATGAAAAACACACTAGAAGGAATTAACAGCTGACTAGGTGATACAGAAGAATGCATAAGAGATCTGGAAAATAAAATAATGGAAATCACCCAATCAGAACAGCAAGAAGAAAAACAATTTAAAAAAATGAGAACAGTTTAAGGGACCTCTGAGACAACATTGAACAACCCAGTGTTCACATCATAGGGGTCCCAGGAGAAGAAAGAAATGGGTCGAAAATGTATTTGAGGACATTATGGCTGAAAACTTCCTGAACCTGAAGAAGGAAACAGATATCCAGGTACAGGAAGCACAGAGGGTCCCAAAGAAGATGAACATCCAAACATATCATAATTAAAATGGAAAATATTAAAGATAGAGAATTCTAAAAGAGCAAGAAAAAAACAAAGAGTCATACAAGGGAATCCCTATAAGGCTACTAGATGATTTTTCTGCAGAAGCTTTGCAGGCCAGAAGAGAATGACCTGATATATTTAAAGTGCTGAAAGTGAAAAACCTACAACCTAGGATATTCTATCCAGCAAGATTTTCATTTACAACTGAAGGAAGATAAAGAACTTCTCAGAAAAGCAAAAACTAAAATAGTTCATCAAGACTAAACAGGCCCTAAAAGAAACGTTGAAGGGTCTTCTCTAAGTGGAAAAGAAAAAGCTACAAGAAATAATAATCTATAGGAAAAGAAAAATCCCACTAATAAAGGTAAATGTATAGTAAAGGCTGTGGATCAACCACTTAAATAAGCCAGTACAAAGATTAAAAGACAAAAAACTCATAAATTCATCTATAACTGCAATAAATGGTTAAGGTATAAGCATGAAGATGTAAAACATGACATTAAAAACACAAAACGTGGGGCACTCACAGATATAGAGAACAAGCTAGTAGTTTACCAGTTGGGAGAGTGAAGGGAAAAGGAGCAAGATAGGAGTAGGGGAGTAAGAGGTACAACCCATTACATGTAAAGTAAATAAGGTACATGGATACAATACAGGAATATAGCCAATATTTTATAATAATTTTAAATGGAATATAATCTATGAAAATTTTGAATCATTATGTTGTATACCTGAAACTAATATAATATTGTAAATCAACTATACTTCTATAAAAAACATTAAATTTTTTAATTAAAATTAAAACATAAAAATATTAAAAAGACAAATATTGTATGACATCATTTACATGTGGAATCTAAAAAATAATACAAATGAACTTATTTATAAAACAGAAAACAGACTCAGTCATAGAAAACAAACTTACAGTTACTAAAGGGGAAGCTGGGGAGGGATAAATTAAGAGTATGGATTTAATAGATATACTTCTCTATATAAAAACTAGATAAACAAGGATTTACAGGATAGCACAGGGAACTATAGTCAATATCTTATAATAACCTATAATGGAAAAGAATCAGAAAAAATATTTATATATCGGGGCTTCCCTGGTGGCGCAGTGCTTGAGAGTCCGCCTGCCGATGCAGGAGACGCGGGTTCGTGCCCCGTTTGGTTTCCGGGCACCCATCCTGCAGCTTCTACATGCTTTGTTTGTTTCTTTAAAAAAAAAAAAAAAAAAATTTATATATTTATAACTGAATTGCTTTGCTGTATATCTGAAACTAATACAAAATTATAAATCAACTATACTTTAATAAAATATATATATATAAATAAAATATGAGGAAGCAATTTGAATTTAGTAGATAAGACTGAACTATCAGAACCTGTATTTTTCTAACATCAAACGATTTGTAGACAAACTTAGAATAAAAACTAGTTGATGTAATCTTCCGAAGTTTATAACATTACGTTGATATTCTAACTGATTTTTTCTTTGGTGTATTATCAAGACAGTTAAGTCCCTCAATGCTTAAAATATCGATCAAATTGATGCATTATCCTTCTTGGAAAAAGAAATCCTTAATTTTAGTGTTCTAAAATTAAATTCAAGGTGTAATACTGATCCAAACTGTAAACCAGATATGTTGTACTGGTTTCCTCTTGTTATAGTAACTACCACAAATTTAGCTGCTTAACCCAGCAACCATTTAATATCTTCTGGTTTCCATGGTTCACAAGTCTTGCCATAATGTGGCTCAAATAGGTTTTCTGCTTAGGGTCCACAGTGTTAAAATCAAGTTGTCAGCAGGGCTGCATTTCTTACTGGATACTCTGGGGAGGAGTTGGCTTACACACTTACTCAACATGTTGGCAGAATTCATTCTCACGCTTTCCATGTACCTCCCTCAATTTTCAAGCCAGTAGTGGGGGCCCAAGTCCTTCTGACACTTCAAATCTTTCTCTTCTGCCACATCTCTATGTTTTTAAAGGTTCGCGAGATTACACTGAGCCCTGGATAATTCAGGATAATCCCCGTATTTTAGATCCACCTTAACTACTTCTGCAAACTCCTTTTACCATGTAATGTAACCTAGCTAAGGGGATGCCACCAAGGGATGAAGGTAATGGGGACCAAAATTCTGCCCCCCACATATGGGAAAGCTCTTCATTTTCTTCTCACATTTGGAGATGCTCTATTATTTTAAGTATTCAGTTTTATTATTCTTTTAGATATTAAATTTTAAGTGTAAGGCCAAATTAAATTTTATGTAAAGGAAATGGTGAATGCTTACAATCATCCAGCTACCTGTTACTCAAAATGTAATCTTTTAAAGTAAAAAGTATAATTTACCTTTTGCCACTGTCTTTGTTTCTGGTTTTTCTTTTTTCTCAATTTTTTCCTTGTGAATTGCTTAAACAGAAAATTTTATATTAGTATACACTCTTAATAGATTTCAAGCTTTTTCTTTACCTCAGTATTATAGCCACCAAAATCATAAGCTAGTTTGAAGATTGATGACATTAATGAGCCCAATTCAGGAATAAAATATTACTAATTTAATAAAAACTGTATAAAACTTAATTTAAAAGATTTGGCATTAAGACTTAGAAAGCATTTTGAAAGCTAGTCTCACCCTCCTGTTTAAAGTTATCATTCTAAGTAGAATTTTTGAATAATAGCTTTCAGGAAAGACAGACAGAGAGAGTAATTTTATAAGAATTTGTTGAAAGATACATCATTTTATCAGGAGGAAGCACTGTCTTTACAATTAAAAGAAATAACTATCAGGACTACAGCTTTGATTAAGAACACTGTGTCTCAACAAGAACACAATTGACTTTTAGGGAACAATTTCTCAGTATGAGGGATTGTCTTATGCACTGAAAAAATGCTTAGCTTCCCTGGTCCCCACTTACCAAATGCCCCTCACTCCAATGACATTTTAACAACCAAAATGTTTCCAAATACTTCCTAAGGGAAGCACCTATGGTTGAGAACCACTAACAGGTTATAAGGTAACCATCAAAGATTACTGATTGAGTGCAACTTCTTAACTGAATGGTACTTGACATGATACCTGAAACATTATACCTTCTAGTTGTTTATGTAATAGATTAATAACAATAATCAATAATTGTTTATAAAACAATATAAATTTATTTTATCAACTTCTATTTTACTTATATAGACGAGTAAAATCTTGTGTCTCTTAATGGTTTAAGTAAAGGAGTTCTGAGAAGTTCAACAGTATGAGCAGGTTATCCTCATATTTCAAATGTATTAAACTGCGCGGTTTAGTAGTTTCCCAAATCACCGTACATATTTCAACATTTACATAGTATTTATTAGAGAATAATAATGAGAGTTAAAGAAATTATGGAAAATTAAATGATAAGAGATTTTAATTAAAATAGTTGGGTTAAGGAAAGAGCCAAATTATTAGAGTGAAAAATTGGAGCCCTAATTATTTTCATTCCTCTAACTATGTAATACAAATATTAATGTCAATCAGTTTTACTTGTATTATAAAAGGAAAATGATGTGCTTAAAATATGTATTTAAATAATTATTCTCTTAAAATACAGTCTATGAATGGTTTCCCCAGAATTTTGGAAAGATGATGCAAGCCTCATAGAAAGCTTAGGGCACAATGTCCAGTTGAAGTCCATGAGATCATGGCAGCTGCACAGTTACCAAGACAGCAGTTTCCTTTCCCTCCAGGGTTTCAGCCTTTCCACCTCTCAGCCTGGCCCATAGTCATCTCCACTACCATTTGGGGTTATGAGTAACAGCTTGGACAATATTCGCTGAAGGAGGGCACAATTCACTCAAGGTCATTGGGCTACAGTATAACTTATCTCATAAAAAGCAAACTCCTTTAATTGGTATACAGTAAATAAAAGGACACAAGTGTTTTGTTTCTGCTTTTGAATTTGGACAAATTTCCTTCAAATGTATAATTTAGGGGCAACAAATTCTCAATTATTTTTCAATGAAAAGTATTTAGCCATTGTAAAGATGGAAAGAAATCACAAGAAATATTAGATTATTTCATTTAGTCAGAGTACACAGAACCTGATGCCAATAATTCTATATAAGTCAAAAGCAGGTAGGAAATGGGCACCTGTTTCTAGAACAAAGAAGATGGCTGTATTGAAATTCATTGATATTATCACAAAGTAAACATTAATAAAAGAACAACTATTTAATTCAAATTTTCAAATGTGAGTTTAGAATAAGGAAGAATGAAGCATGTTTCAACTCATCTGATTCCTAAGCATTGTAAAACATTCTAGCTAAGTGGAATGTTTCAAAAAATAAAATTTCTCAGTAGGCTATGTGTATTGTGGATACATAAATCAGCTGAAATTTAGCCTAAATATCCTAGACGTGATCCATTCTAAAACAAGAGAAAAAAATTAAGTTAGAACTTTATTTTACATCATATGTTAAAATAGATTTTTGATGAATTAAAGTTAAATGTGAAATATGAACCTAGTTTTTTAAACTTGAGGAATATAAGTAATTACTGAATTAATCCTTGGATGAAGACTCAAGAGCAGAAATACCAAAAGAAAATATCAACATATCTAGCCCCATAAAAATTCAAGAACTTAAAACACATACATATATCACACATATGCACTCACACATGTTTATTCACACAGATAGAAACCCTTACATTAACTACAAAACTAACTATATAAGAAATATATTTGCAAACGTAACAGATCAGTGATGTACACCCAAATGACACATACATGTATCATCAAGAGAAATGGGCAGTGAGTGTGATGAGTTATACAAGAAATATGTATCACTAAAAATCACATTCAGATACCTCAATCTACAAATAACAAGCAATTAAATGATATAGTGGAAGAAAATATCTCTATTTAAATACTATGCAGCTTTTTAAAAAGAATGAGGGAAATATCTATTTACTGATATGGAAAGATCTCTAGGGTACAGTGTTATAAAGACAGAACATAGGACTAAATTTTGTGCAAAAATAGGGAGAGACAATAATGTATATTGTCTTCTAAATGCATAATGAATTTCTGAAAAGATGCACATAGAGCTCATAAAAGCAGTTTACTGTGTGTATGTGTGGGTAGATAAGGAATGGGATCAGAGGGTGTGGGCAAGGCAGGAGAAAGCTTTTTGCAAGGTACCTTTATGTGTTAAACAATGAGTGTGCATTGCTTATTCTAAACAAATAAAAACTAAAAAGTTTTAAGTCCAGTCTAATATATAATCACAGAATGCAAGTTAAGGTAATGAAGTACACTTCCTTACCTATCAAATTGGCAAATATTTTCTGAAATAATATCCTCATTGTTGGCTAAAGCAATCTCAGAATTGCCAGGGGAAAAATTGATACATTTCCAGAAAGTAAATTGGTAACAGTTTGAGAGTCTTAAGTATTTTATTTCCTTCAACCAAGAAATTGTCCTTTTCACATTCAATTCTAAGGAAAATTATCATAATACAATTTTTAAAAATTAATTCATGGTCATCTAAGTTCAGACATAAAGAAGAAACGGTCAAAGGGTGACAGACCAATGAGTAAAAACTGCAATAAGAATAACTCCATACCTTTCTTTTCAGGTTTTCCTTTTTCTTTGTCTTTTTCTTTCTCTTTGTGTGTAACTGGAAAGAAATAGACAATATTTTTCATTTAAATAAAAAGAATAAAAGATGAGATGATTGCATGGCAGTCTTTGATGTCAAAAACTTATCTACTGCCTTTGGAAATCTTTCTTTAACTAGCATGAGGTTTTACACTGGTTTAAATGTTAAAATAATTACAGATATTTTAAATTTCTATTTTTATTTCATAACCAAGGACAAACTCATACCAAAACCAGGTCTGATTGCAAAGACTACCCCTCAACTTTTCCAAATCTTTAACTTCAATTTAATGAATTGGAAAAATTTTTAAATGTATTATGCTATCTGCCAAAGAAGCCCAGCTCAATACTGGAGGAACACCAAAACTGTGAAGACAAAAATACAGAGAGAATCTTCTGAAGCTGAGGCAAAGAACACTCAATCTAGATAGTATATGTTAATCTTCTACAGGAGATTTCCATGCAAATAGGTTTTGAAAATATACTGGAATGAAACTGGAATGACACCAAACCCTTTCAAAGAAAACAAAATTTAATTCAATATGAGCCATGATTCAATTAATTAATACAGTAGGGCTCAAATTTAAGTTATAATCTTCCCCCATAATTCAGTCATAACTCTTCTTAATGGTACCTCCAATTATCCAAACTAGAAACTTGGGACTCATCCAGGATTCATCTTTTATTTTTCATTTTTTCCATTTGCCAAGCTTTTGCAATCCTACCTATTAAATATTCCTTTTACGCATCTTCTTCTATCCAATATTACACTCCCTACTTACCATTTATTTACATGAAAATATAGAAAGAGCACCAGTTATGTGCTAAAGACTTCGCTAGGCAAGACAGACTTCATCCCTATCACCATGATGTCAAGCTAATGGATGATGGATACTAAACAAATAATCCCAAAGGTAGTTAATTGCAGTTAGAATAACTGCTGTGAAGAAAATATTCAGGGTAGCATATCAATGTATAAAATGAGACCTAATCTAGTCTGTGTGCTTGGGGAAGGTCTGTTGGTAGAAATTATATTTAAGGATGTGAAAGATGAGAAGAAATTAACCTAGTAGGGGAGTAGGAAGGAGAAAGGGGAAAGAGACCATTTCAAAAGTGGGACTATGATGTCCTTATTGGGCATATTATTATTATAAATATTATTACACTAATATCCTGAATAGTGTCTTGAACACTTAGATTTTGAGTTTTCTGAGTCTCAGAGTAGCCTTTCTAACATGAAAATCTGATCATACCATTGATCTGATACAAGTGTTAGTATCTCCCTCATTGCTTAGCATGGTAATCTGTCACATGGTAGGTGCTATATCAAATATAAAAATATTTCATTGTTTTAGTGATCTGACATTTGCTTATCAATCCAATCTTACCTACCAGGAATTTCCCCTTGAACTTTACATTCCAGTTATAACAAAATGTTTGCAATTCCATAAACATGCCACATGCCCTCCTAATGCTTTTGCATCTCTGTCTGCTTGTGCCTTCACTTAGATTTCCCACACCCACATTTCCTCTGTTCCATGTACCCTTTCAGTCCTGGTTCAAACGTCTCTTCCTCTGCAGAGGGTTGGTTGCTCTCTATTTATTCCATATGCCAACTGCACCATGTGCATAATTCTGTCTTATCAATTAAGGAATAATACAGCAATTGTTCGTAAATCTGACTCCCAAGAAGGTGAACTCTAGGGGCTATGCCATATTATTTTATTTTTGTATCCGGGCTCATCACATGGTGTCTGACTCACAGTGGACTCTTTTTTTTTTTTTTTTTTTTTTTTTTCCCGTACGCGGGCCTCTCACGGCTGTGGCCTCTCCCATTGCGGAGCACAGGCTCCGGACACGCAGGCTCAGCGGCCATGGCTCACGGGCCCAGCTGCTTCGTGGCATGTGGGATCTTCCCGGACCGGGGCACGAACCCGCGTCCCCTGCATTGGCAGGCGGACTCTCAACCACTGCGCCACAAAGGAAGCCCTCACAGTGGGACTCTTAATAGATATTCTTGAACAAGGGAAATTCTAAAATATTATAAGAAGAGCTATTTTCATCTTCTAGTACAATTCTATTTACTCATGATTTGTATGGATATAATACGCACTGCTTGCTTCCAATCATTTAAATATTTTACAATTTGTTAAAACTTCTTAAAACCCAGTGAGAAACAGAAGAGAAAAAAAAAATCGTAGATCATCTAGACATTATTTTTCCTTTCCACATTCAATGGTTCTTCTGGGTTTTCTAAGTTTCTAAGTTCAATATAAAAATCTCACAAAATAAGAGTAGGACATCAGCACTCACACATGACCACAGATAGCTTATTTCGGTTCCTTTGGATCACTATTAATTAAGCTGAAAAGCAAAAGAAAATCTTGGCAAAAACAAAGCCTCTTTTAAAGTTTCTCTAGGGGAAAGGAAGTTTGCATGAGATAAGCTGTGCTTTCGAAACACTGATTGGCAAGACCCCCAGGAGAAAACCTAATCTGTGTCTCTGCCTCTGTGAAGGACCAGACCTCAGCCACCTCCAACAGCTGGTTGTCCATTCCACTAAAGGATTTTCCGATTGACGTGTGCATGGGTATAAATGGGAGAATTAATACAAAATCAAAAGAGCAAGGGGTCTGAATTCAGGCTCAAATTAGCATATTAATGCCTTATTCCTGTTACCCTGGGGAAAAATCCGGTTTCTCACAGTCTAAGTTTTGATTTACAGACACAGAATTTCATTATCCTCCTCAGAAATGGTACCATAATACTGCTTAGTGAAGCAGCTGGAACCACATGCTCTAGGGAGCTGTTCAACATGGCAGGGAGCCACTGAAGCTTCTTGGATGGAAACTTCAAACTTTGGCAAGACTGAGCTCAAACACTAAGCTTTGAAATTGCTGTTATCAAAATAGTGCCACCATCAATAACTGCCTTAATAATCCCTCTAAAACAAAAATAATTTGCTGCAACAGTTACATTTGCTCATGCATCCTTTGCTTAGAACTCACAGAATTTTGCATATGAAAGAAGAAAAAAGTACCTTCCTCATCACCAGCTCTGTTTGGTAAGTTACATCTTAGCTAGGATAGTTTTAGCTCAGGACAAAATAAGCTTGTTGCACCTGCTACAGCTTACTTTGTTTGTCATCCTTATTTACAAAAACAAAATTCCCTTCGGCATGCTGATAATTAAAAACAAATGGAATACACAAGTTGGAACGGCCCTGATGTTTGCCATCTGAGTTGGCATGGCTCTGCTGTTCCTGCACTTGCCCAGACTCTGACCCTTCCCTGGCCAGAACACTCAGCTCAGCTCAACTCCGAAGCGCGTCTCTTGCCCTCCCCATATGTTCTCTCTCCAGTACTCTGCCAGCTGTGCTCTGTGCTTTCACAGCTCTTGGCCCTGGCAACCCCCGAGGCGGGCTATGTGTCCTTTTCTGAAGTGTATCAGAGCTCAGAGTGCGCCTGACCCTGGGTTCCTAACGGTCAAAACACGCGCAAGGGGCCAAGCAGCAGGCATTAGGGGCCAGGTTGTCAGAATCCTTTGCAGATCTCTCTGCTCTGAGTTCAAAACTCAAAAGGGTTGGCATCAAAAGTTTTAAAGTACTGATTTGTATAGGCTACTCTTTTCTTCAATTGATGGTTAGCAAGAAAATTTAACTAAATGAAGCTCCTGTATTTGACTTCAGAGCTATTGGACTGGACTAAGCTTGAGTGTCTGAAGCAAAAGGAATTGGATAGATAAGCATGTAACAACTACACCTTTGCATTAGAAAACACTTTGGGGAGCACAGCTACCTGTAATAGATTTTGCTGATTTTTCTTTTAATTAATTTCTCTATTTCTCAGATTTCTGGCACTGCTGTTGAGAGAGGTATTAGCCCTGAAGTGGTCTATAAATTTTAAATAGGTCAACATTTTAAACAGTTTCATAAAATTCATATACACCCATGTTTCAATTCATCATTTTTTATGAAAGAGCAAGATACATATTCATTTTAAACCATTTAAAAAAATTATCCTTTAGCCACCACTAAACAAAAATGCCAGATGTACTCTTGGTTAGTGTATATCTCTGTGTTTCTTTTTTCTTTTTTTGTCGAATTTCCATTCTGTGCTAAGACAAAATGATCTACACACTTTATATGATAATGATGAACTCAGTAGAAAAGCATTCTTGAGTAGAGAAACTTCTCAAAGATTGTATTATTCATTCTTCTTAAAGGAAGAATTTATCATTTTTACTTTAATATAAGTACACAATTTTAGAGCTGATAGGAACCTAAGAGATCTATTAGCCTGAAGTTCTTTGTCCATTGATAAGAAAATACAGCCGCATAAGTGTCCATGGCAGAGTAGAAGAATTCAGTTATTATGTTGCTAAACTAGTACTCTCCCCACAAGATTATGCTGCCTTGTCTACCCCATATCCTGTGCAGACTTGTTCTTATGAGCTGAAGTGTACTGACTAGATTCTCCAAGCATGTTATCTACAATCTATCCTACAATAATGCACACACTTCTTTTTCATAATAAAATTACATTTATTTATGTATTAAAGTGAAGATTAGGCAAATTTCCTAAAGTTACAAAGCTCATCTGATACATATGCTTTCAATCACAAAATAGATTTTTTTAATTCTAAAGGATTAGTTTTACTTTCAAGTCTGATTTAATTGTATGGGTAATTTCCCCTTCACCTGGGGCTACATGGTCATAGTCAGAACCATAACGATTTCCTCATAAGTGAACAATCACTATGCAGAAGGAGATACATAGCTTTGTATAGGGCCTTCTGTTCTCATTTTACAGGTTTATCATTCACAGCAGCCAAAGAAGAAAATAAAATATATTTTGTACTTTAAAGAGACAACTAAGTACAGCTGAGAGAAGGCAAAAGTAAATTTATACAACACAGGCTAACTAAATTAACCTGTGGGCTTTGAGAGCATTTTCACAAAGGGCTCCAGGATATTTAGATACATTTTAACATCCTGCCCTCTTTGGCTTTTGAGCCTCATCTTCAGCCCTATGCCTTTGCCAGCCTATGATTCCGGTCCTATAATTGTTTCTCAGAAAGGATCCTAAACCAGTCAATCAGGATGATTGTTCTCTATTAACCCTTTTTAAAAATGTTCCGCTGACTTTGTGCATGTGATACTGTTATGGGTTTAATTATGTTAGCGAGAAAAGATATGCCGACGTCCTAACCTCCTGTACCTCATAATGTGATCTTATTTGGAAATAGGGTCTTTACAAGAGGTAATCAAGTTAAAATCAGGTCAGTAGGGTGGCTCCTAATCCAATATGACTGGTGTCCTTATGAAAATGGGAAATTTGGACACAGAGACAAATATGCATAGCAAGAAGGGACAGATGCAGGGAGAACACCGTTTGAAGGTAAAGGTAGAGGCTGGAGTGATTCATCTACAAGCCAGTGAATGCCAGCAAACGCCTCTGAAGCTGGGAAAAGCCTGCAGATTCTCCCTCACAGCCCTCTGAAGGAACTAGCCCTGCTAAAACCTTGACTTTGGACTTCTAGCCTCTCCAACTGTGAGACAATACATTTCTGTTATTTTAAGCCTCCCAGTTTTTTGTACTTTGTTACAAAAGCCCTAGGAAATGAACACTAACACTAGTCACTGGGCTTCTCTTGTGCTCCTTTAACCAAGTTCCCACCTGGTTCCTTGAGGACTGACCCCTGACCTAGCCATCTGAGTTGGCATCTTAGTTCCCAGTATGGTATTTGGCACAAAGTAAGTGCAATAAATAAACGTGTATTATTGCCTAACAGCTATAGCAAGTTTTTCTATTTACACCATCTGTCTGCCAGGACGCTCCCCCATTCCCACCAACTGGCCCACTCAGATGTTAACTACATGCCATTCATCAGCACACACTCTGCTGTGTAAATTTCCTCACTATGCCCGAGGTCAGCTCTTCAGCGAAACACCTGATAACCTAGGTGGATGTAGCAGACACCTATTGCTCTGAATGCCTAAAAGGCCCTACTTTTGGCTAGGAGCCATCCTAGAGAGACAAAATTCTCTCATCTAGTTATATGTTTATCACCAGGTTCTAGTCTTTCCTGGTTTACTCTGTTCTATGAGTATACTGACATGTTTAATAGTTAAATAGAAGCCTAAACGGTGTCCGAAACCAACAATAAAGTTTGCAATTGAAAAAGAAACAAGACAATATGCAATAAAAGAGTAACCACATGGAGGGAAAAAGCAGAGGAAAGTAAAAAAATAAATTACTATTTTTCTCTGGAGAACTGAGTTTTGCTTGTATCTTTCTTTTTTTTGCACTTTCCAAATTGTCCAAATTAATCTGTATTACTTCAACCTATACTATTATACATTTGTTGTGGGTGTTTCTGATTACATGTTACAGACAGTTTTTGTTTTAATATGGAGCTCACTGTCAAATTCTTCAATTGCCTCTGACCAAATAAATTTGACATTACAATGGCCCAATTAAAGCCGCATAATTATATACACTTGAAAATAAACACAGATTGTCAGAGTTCTCCATAGAAATCAAGTAAATATTAACAAAATAGAGAAAATGAATGCTTTATTAATTAATTCATTAATTATTTCAACATGCATTGAATGTGTTTCATCTGTTTGGCACTTTGCTAGATATTAGAATGATTTTTAATTTAATATAAGGACACAAATTCAGAGCTGATAGGAAGCTGAGAGACCACTGAGCCTGAATCTTTGTTCACGAATAAGGAAACACACAATCGTAAATGTCAACACCAACCTAGAACATATAAAAAGACACAGTTCCTGCCCTCAGTGAGCTAGATCAATATACTCGCAATTCAAATTTGGTGTCAAAATGCTTTAAAGGCTGAGAGCAAGGATGTAACTGTAGCAAGGAGGAAGTACCTGAATGACCACAGAGTGAGGGACAGCAAAGGAGGCCTATTGAAGGAACGGATGTTCCATCTGAGAATCAAAAAAATGAGCAGAAGCCTGCCAAGTGGCCGATGGTCAGAGAGAACAGGTATATGAAAGAACAGAGTTATGAGACAGCAGCAGTGCTGGCTTAGGAACTGCCCCAAAGTTCAGCCTGCCTATGGCATGGGAGGTGTTGGTGGGATGTGGAGTGAGGTGGTGAGGGGAGCACGAGGAGAGCTGGGAATGCAGGGGGGTGATGAGCTTGCAGATTAGGGAAGGTAAGTGGCAAAGGAGACAAAGCTGACCACTGGCTATCTATCAGTGATCATATGATGAGGGCCTTTTATGTCATGACAGTGTGGCTTTTATCTCTAAAGCACTGTGACGACAACAAATGGATTTAAGCCCATGAGCGTGATTAGCATGGCTTTCAGGGGTTAATGCAGGGAAATCAGTTAAGAAGTAACTGTCATAACCTAATTGGGAGATGACTGTAGAGGGGATAGTAATGGGAGAGGAGAGGTGAGAATAGACTAAATTATAATTAAGAGAGAGGATGACAAAGGGCCATGCAGGATTGGACTTTGGTATTGAAAGAGACCAACAAGTCTATGGCAGGGATTGTAACTCAAATGCCTTCAGAGATAAAGCAGATAAATAAATGTCTACTCCAGTAGTGATGAGAGTGGAGGAGATTGGTGCAGGTCTCACTTAAAGACATCCAGGTATAAGTTATGTTAACATACTGGTTGGTCAAAGAGAACCTCTGTGGGATATACTTGAACTCTAGGCTAGGTGTTTAATTGAGAATATTAATGAGATGGCTACTCATCTGAAGAGGCTGACTTGAACTCTAGCCTCACCTCCCAAACATTAATGGAACCAGGATGGAGTCTGCTCATGAATATATATATTTTTAAACCTATCCAGATGATTCTAAAGTCCAGTCAGGATTGAGTACCACTACTGGCCAAAATGACTCCTAGCTTTTTAGCTTGAATAACTTGGGTGAATCGTGATGTTAATTTTCAGGACAAAGAATACGGAAGGATGAAGACATTTTGTGCGATAGAAGTTAATACATCAGCTTCTGCATAATAGATCTCTTTGTACTCTGATATTTGCTGGCTTCTCTATAGTCATTTCGGGCTACTATTACCTTGGATATAGTGTATCTTTTCTTATAAGAGTTCAAAATGCTTTGATAACAACTTAAATTCCTAACTATCCATTATATATAACCATAACTGACAGAATGTGGCATAGAGAAAACATGTATTTATCTAGACATAGGAACAGCTATAAAACCACATTTATTTTCACTGAACTATTTGGGAATAGAAAGCAGGCATTATTCTATTCTACCTGGATGAGGAAACTAAGCAGTAAAATGAAATCTTTTGTTCATATTCACACAAAAAATTGTGGAAAAAAGTATCGCTGAAGCCCATTTCACTGTTGAACAGCTGAAGCTCCATCTTCTCTTTCTTGAGAAACATTCACTTTCCCAAACTATATTTGATCTATTCAGGAAATATATTCAGGTACCAATCTCTAGCCCAGCCTTTGAGGAATTTATTTTAAACTTCAGCCAAATGCACTGTTTTAATTATGCAAGACTCACTAGTTTAAAAAACCCACTCTACAGCCCACTGCTCAGTCTTTTAACAGCAGGATTCTAATACAGCCAAGTCCAAAACGCAAATGGTACCATCTGCATCACAACATCCACTCCAGGAGCATTGCTATTAAATTAGTAGTACAGTCTGCAAGATAAAACAGCAGACTCCCCAATCATGTGGAACCAGTTGAATTTCTGTTTAACCTCCAGCAGATAGAAACACATAACCAGTTCAGTGATGGCTAGCTTAGTCAATCCGTACCCAAGAGCTGTGTCCAATTTCCCTGACCAAAGGAATTAAGAACGAAAAAAGGGAAAGGGAACAGAAATAAGACATTAATTAGTTCCCTGAGTACAAATATAAATAGGTTTCAGTTGAGTAAACTTCATTGTCCCTGGTTGTATAAGGATTGGCTGACCAATCTGGAACTAATTCAAATATTAGGATTAAAGACATAATATCTGCAGAATGATTTGAGCTCTTCACAAAAAGGAAGTTCATGAAGTATATTAAAAAAGAAAACATGGTATTTTAATGTAGATTCACATATTGGTATAATTTCAGGTTAATTAGAACTTCTATTATTTGAAACTATTACTGGCAACTATGATGTTTGTGCAGGTAGTTTTGTACTAGTCAGTTTTTGACATAATAAATATTAGACAACATTCAAATTTTATCCTAGGAAAATTCTTTCGTTTTCAGCTGTATCACACAAATACAGTAATAATGAGATTTTTATTTTTGCCTTAACTCACCCAGTATCATGTGAGAGTGACCACTGGGGAAACTTGGGCATATTTAGAAACATGTCCTATCGAATGTTTGTGCTTCCTGTAAGTTTTCTTTTTACATTTTACGACTACATGGGTCACTCCTAGAAAAGTGATGCTTGTAAGATGAGCAAGACATTACTGGCCATTAGTAATATCCCTCTAATGCAAGATTTCAGTTACTAGATTTAGTTGAGTTGAAAAGGATATTAATCATCATGTTGTCACTGTCCATCTACCCCTTGAGGCTGTGTAAGCAAGCTCTGGGGCCCTAGCAGTCTTCAGTGAGATAGTATAATGACTGCATTTCTATGATGAAGATTTTAAAGGTATAGCATGGCATAAAAAAATTCAAGTTAAAAAAAATTGAACTCTGATCTATTATATTAACTGATTAAAGAAGGAAAAATGTTTGCTAGTAAGTCAAAAAATATGTTTGTGGTGCTATCTCAGTAAGCAAAAGCCAACTGTATCAATAAATAACTGAAAGATTGTAACACATTTTGAAGTTATTTTGATTCCAGTAATTAAATATTATATATTTATACCTGGGGTTTACTTAGAAGTAAACTTACTTAAACACTATCAACAATTAAAGCAAAAGAGCACTAAATATGAAAACTTTATGTTTTCTCATGTAAATATACAAAATATATATCCTGAATAAAAATAAGAATAAACACAAAATTTAACCCTTACCTTTAGTTTGTATTTTCCTTTCAGTTTTCTCCTGCTTCTCAGTCTTTTCTTTGTGTATTTCTAGGAAAAAATAGGATACACTTTTAAAAACTCTTTTTGAAAATGTGCAAAATATAAATCATAGCTATGACCTAACCATTATAATTCCAGCATGAAGTCTAAATGATTTTAGCCAACAAATTTAAAGGTATCTAAAAGGAAAGAGTCATTGTTAACATATTGCCACATAAATCCCTAAATTATTGAAACAAGGAAAAAATTGGAGTTACCTAAAATTTAGTTATTGAAAAAGCTTAAAAACTTAAATCAGTAAATGTTGCCACTGTTTTCAGTGCTAAATCTGATCACAAATTATAATTATGTTCTATTTCAATTACTCTCAATGCATATTGAGACTCCTTAGTAAAAAATATCATTTAGATTTAGGAAGATTTAGTTTTTACATATTAAATTAAGAATTTGTGAAATGAACTGTAACAACTATCTAATAGGAAATATATCTCAGAAGTATTGACTCTAAGCTATGTTTATAATCAGAATTTGACATTGCATTTAACCAATAATTAGTGCATGAAGATATGACACATTTCATAGAATGTTAGTTGTTACATTTTTTCTAAATATCAGGTTTTAACAAATATATTCAATTTGCTGCTAGTTTCAGTAAACATACATTGCCAAGGCTTAGAAAATAAAGTTAATTGTGAAGTTGCAGTTAATTTGGATAGAAGTAAATTTGAGATTAGAGTTTACAAATATGATTACTACCTCTGAAAAGTGACTTCATCTTAAATACCATGGTTTTTCTTAGAAAAATGCTAATGAGTTTTACTTATTTATTTATCACAACTTTATTCCACAGATGGTCTGAGATGGTGCTAATTACTGTACATATTCTAAATTCTCCATTTGTAGATTTGAATTTGCATTTTTATAATTTTTCTAGAAGTCTAAAATCAAGACCAACTATAGGAAAATCCTAAATATCTTCAGAAAAGACAGTTACTGACTTTCATTCACCAGTTAAAGAGATAATCACCACTGTGAAGATTTCCTCCCCTCATTTTCCCCATTAATCAATCATACTATTTAGAAGGCCACTCCTCTACTCGTATCCCATCCTTGACCTTGAAAATGGCAATGGAGATACAAAAGAGTTAAGATATTCACTTACATTTGTGAAAAAAAAGGCTTCAAGGTACCAGGAAAGATATCCCAAGGGCTTAGAAACATCCAGCTTCCAGCTTCTCTCCTTCTCATTATTATTATTATTAATCTCCTCCCTATGTCTCCAAATCCTACTCCAAAGCATGGTTCTTCGTCTTAGCATTACTGACTTTTTAGATTGGGGAAATTGTTATTTGGAGGTGGAGTGGGGCTACTCTGTGCACTGTACAGTATTTAGCAGCACCCCTACTTACTAGATGCTTCTAGCCCCCATCCCCATCCCCAGTCATGACTATAAAAAATGTCTTTAGATATTGTGAAATGACTCCTGTTGGGAACTTGTATCTTTAGAGCAACAGTCCAATCACTCTTTGTCACTGTCTAGACCTACATTGTCCAATGCAGTGTCCACTAGACATGTGTACATATTAAAGACATGATATGTGGTTAGTCCAAATTGAGATGTGCTATAAGTGTAAGTACATAATGAATTATGATGACTTAATATTAAAAAGAATGTAAAATACCTCATTAATATTTTTTATATTATTACATATCAGAATGATATTATTTTGGACATATTGAGTGTGATGGTTTTATTTATGTGTCAACTTGGCTAGGCTACTATCCCAAATCATTCAAATGAACACTAATCTAGAAGTTGCTGTGAAGCTATTTTGCATATGTAATTAAAATGCCTAGTTTATTAGCTTTAAATAAGGTGGTTCTGGATCATCTGGGTGGGCTTGTCTGATTCCACTGGAAGGTCTCAAAAACAACTTTGAGGTTTCCTGGGAGAGGGAAGAAATTCTTTGGGTGGATGACAGTGTTGGTCCATGCCCGTGGGCTCCAGCTCGCCCATGATCTTCACTTCTTGACTGCCTGTCCTATGGGTTCTCATTTGCTCAGCCAGTCCCCACAACCACACAGGCCAATTCCTTGTAACAAATGTCTTAATATACCTGCATAATTTCCTACTTTTGCTTCTTTGGTTGAGCCCTGACTGATATTTGGGGTTAAATAATACATATTATTAAAATTAATTTCATATTTTTCTTTTTACATTTTTTAATGTGGCTACTCAAAAAAATTTAAATACATATGTGGCTCACATTATACTAGTTTTAGACAGTACTTGTCTGGCCCTAGGGGTGGGCAAATGACCTTTTCAGGTCGTCTACAGGGTTAAATCTTCTACAAGTTAATTAAAAAAAACCCTCAAAATTCTCCCCTGCCAATACCATTCTGCTTCCTCCCTCCTATTTAAACAAACAGAAGCTATGGAGAAGATTGGGGCCTTGTATAACTCAGCCTGATAAAGTAAGTAAAATGCCAAAGATTTAGAGTAGTCTTTGCATGTGCTAAGGGAATCATCTTTAAGAAATAATTTCTTACTCCTGATAGGGATTAATTTGAATATAGAAATGGGATGAAATTTTCTAAATTAAAAATTTATATGAAATGTTACACCTATTGTGATTGAAAAAGGCCTTAAATCTGTCATTGAGAATAATATTTTTCCTTTAGAGGTGTGTGTGTGTGTGTGTGTGTGTGTGTGTGTGTGTGTGTGTGTGTTTATATTCCACTGGGTACTCAGAGGAATAAAAGAGAGATTCTAGAACTCACACAGGAAGATCAGACACGAGTTAGAATCTTCTGAAGGATTAGGTTCAAAAGGCCATTCTGCCTGGGTAATCCTGTCAGAGCCTCCCAGCCTAACTTAACTGGGGAAATACACTGTTTAGACAAGGTGGTGGTTTATGGAATTAGACAATCCATGTTGGCTCATGATGGGGTTTCCTGCAAGGTAGGTGAAATCTTGCACATCAGAGAACAGAAAAAATAACAGTAGTAGAAGAAACCTGGGTTCCCCTTAGCCTTAGCTCTTGTGCACCCAGCAGCAGCCGACCAAAAGGGAATGAGCTCTAGATTATGACCAGAATTGTAATGAGCAGGGTTCCATCCTGGAGGGGAAAAACATAAAGTGAAAGAAGACAAATCTCAAAAAGATTGGGATGCAGATCACCACTCAGGAAAAGGCAGGAGGGAAACATATTCTCTCCACTTTTCCCCAAATACAAGAAAGGGAGGTAACCTTAAAGTGGGAGGTAAGTCCAGGAATGTTGGTTACACTTCATAATAAGTTTCACTTAAGCAAAAATAAAAATAGATGAAAGTAAAGGAGAATTAGACTTTAAAAAATGATGATAATTTTTATGTTCATTGGTGAAATCGGCCTGTAATTTTCTTTTTTGTGGTATCTTTGTCTGGTTTTGGTATCAGGGTGATGGTGGCCTCACAGAATGAGTTTGGAAGTATTTCTTCCTTTGCAATTTTTTGGAATAGTTTCAACAGGAAAGGTGTTAACTCTTCTCAAAATGTTTGATAGAATTCGCCTGTGAAGCCATCTGGTCCTGGGCTTTTTTTTGTTGCAGTTTTTAAATCACAGATTCAATTTCAGTACTTGTAATTGGTCTGTTCATATTTTCTATTTCTTCCTGGCTCAGTCTTGGGAGATTGCACCACTCTAAGAATTTGTCCATTTCTTCTAGGTTGTCCATTTTATTGGTATATAGTTGTTTATAGTAGTGTCTTATGGTCCTCTGTATTTCTGTGGTGTCGGTTGTAACTTCTCCTTTCTCATTTCTGATTTTACTGATTTGGGCCCTACCCCATTTTTTCTTGATGAGTTTGGCTAAAGGTTTATCAATTTTGTTTGTGTTTTCAAAGAACCAGTTTTTAGTTCAATTTATCTTTTCTATTGTTTTCCTCATCTCAATTTATTTCTGCTGTGATATTTATGATTTCTTTCCTACTAGTAACTTTAGGTTTTGTTTGTCCTTTCTCCAGCTGTTTTAGGTAAGGTTAGGTTGTTTATTAGAGATTTTTCTTGTGGGATTAACAATATACACACTACTATATATAAAATAGATAACCAACAAGGACCTACTACTGTATAGCATGGGGAACTATACTCAATAGTTTATAAAACCTTAAGGAAAAA